TTCTATCCCTAATTAGTATCGTAGTTAGCCCAGTTGTTGCTTTTTTGTTTTTTGTTTTTTTGGGGGCAAAGTTCCGGTTTTGTTGTTTTCGTATTATCAGTTGCAATTGTCGGTAAATGATTTGATGTTTCTGTAGTCTGTTGTTTCTCATTCTTATGTTGTTATTGATTTGATGAATATTTTATATTATGCTCTTGTAATCAGTTTTTGATTATACACGTCATAAGTTTTTTATTATATTATGCCTCGGTGAGAATGGTAGAAACATTAGAATTAAGAACACAAGTTAAAACGGGGAGGGGTAGACTGAAAAAACTTGGAAGGAGATAATAAACAATGATTTAAAATTTTTAAATTTGAATGAGGATATGTGTTTTGATCGAGCACGATGACAACATGTGATCCATATAGCCGACCCCATTTCGTGGAATTTTGATGGCTTGTTGATTGATTGATTGATTTATTATATCATTCGTTTTTACGAAAGCATCTGAAACTCTAACCATTCTCTGAACGTTCTTGTCTTGTGTGGATTGAATCTGTTGGCTTTTGTGGTGATTGTTTTTCTTATTAACCTTTTTCTCGTGATTGTTTTTCTTATTAACCTTTTTCTCATCGTTCAGCGTGTTACGTATCTCATAAACGAGCGGAAAGGTTGCCCTTTTGCTCTCACATGCCATTTCCCACCATGACAACTGCAATCGACACAGCTCCAAGGAACTTGAAGTTCAAAATAACTAGCAGAGGCATTCGGAGTAACTCAGAAGTCAAGCCACAGGACAACGCCTCAAAGGGTTTATTAAAGAATGGACAAAAAGTAAACAAAATTTCCGAAAGTGGAAATATTTGCTCTCAGTTAAATGCTAATCCAACTGGGCCAGCCACACCTGCCAAGCGGAAGCCCGAGGTGTCTTTTGATGGTCAAACCAGGAAAAGGGGGAAGATGGACCGCACTTTGAAATGCCGGTGTGAGAACATTCTCAAGAAGTTGATGAGCCACACAGGCAGTTTTATTTTCAGAGAGCCTGTGGATCCTGTGAAGTTGAATATTCCAGATTACTTCTCGATAATCACCAAGCCAATGGATTTAGGGACGATAAAATGTAAACTGGACGGCAATAAGTACTTCAGTGCAGAGGAATTTGCTGCTGATGTGAAGCTGGCATTCTCGAATGCCACCACTTACAATCCTCCCGGGAATTATGTTCATGAGCTGGCAAAGGAGATGGGTGATTGTTTCTCCAGGAGTTGGAAATCATTGGGTGTGTGGTTAAAGCAGAGGAACGGTAATGATGAAAAGGGCAGTTTTGTCCATCATGTTGAGAATAATGGGCGAGCGAACAAGCAAACTGTAGCAAACCATCACCAGGGTGCAAAATTAGCTGGACTAAGTCAAAGGAGCTTTGTTTCTTTGCCCGATGATAGAAGTTCACGGAATTTGAGAACGAAAGTTAGTGCAGCAGATGGAACCTGTGGAAAAGTTAGTAACTTCCTCTGCATTTCTGAACAGATTTTTGGTTATGACTTTCTAGATTTGTGATTTTGACTTTTTACCCTTTTTCTGTTCAAGCTTTAGAAATTCTACTGCAAAGAGCAGTCTTTTGACTATGTATATTGTACTCGAAATAGATGTAATCTTTTTAGAAGTTGGGTCAACCTATTTCGGATAGTTCCATGTGGAGGTATAATTGCTCAAGTACTTTCTGTTCACTTTGTGCAGGTCAAGCCAATCACACTGAAGGGGTGTTCCTCATCGAGAGCTGTCGAGAAAGGTATGAGAGGTGGCAGAGTAGTTTTTCTACTTTTTCTGGCTCTTTATAGGGGCTAATTGGTCCTGTGTCTTATTGGCACAGAACCTTGTAGTCAAAGTTCTAGTGCACCTGGCAAGCAAAGTCAACCAGTTGATTCTGTTGAGGCCAAATGTTGTTCATGCGGTAACTCGACGTGTCATTGCCGGCTTAAAGATGCTTCGGCCCAAGCATCTAAAAGTGGTGAGTAAAATTCTTACATGTTCACTTTCTCTATGTCTTTGAGATCTTAATGATTATGTTCATTGCAGATATATCTTCAGAACGATCATCCGAAAACAATCAGTGTGGTGATTCTGATTCTAAACCTGTGAGTATCATCTGCTACTGACTCTTTGAGTAAATATGACTGATAAATAGCGGCAGTGTGGTGCAAAATTTCTGATTTGCCTTTATTTGATGTATCAGTATAGTGAGGTCAAACGTTCTTCGGCAATCCAAAAGAGTAGTTCCAGTCTCGAGTCTCAAGGTGATGGCCTTCTTTCCATCTTACATATGGAGATTATGTGTTTATGTTCATTTTCAAGTATTCTGATTGTTCTGAATATCTATATGATATCAAATTTTATTATAGGTCCTGGAGTGGTTATCCATGAAGAGAAGAGTCCCGATTTTCCCAACCCTTCTACAACAGCTCTCTCTTCTACTGAAGGTATATTGACCGATAATGAAAAATCCAAAAAATATGAAATTTATATAGTGGTGAAAAAGAATTTGTGGACACTAGCTTGTAAAATATATATATGTATATATATATGTCCATGTGTTATGTACTTGTTTTCCTTTATGTAAGTGTGTGATTATGATTGTGTTTACATTTAGTTCCTGTTGGCTGGATTTTTGAAGTGTTGTATTATTTAATAGGTTGGGCTTCACTCAATGCCCAAATGTCGCCAAACAAGGCATTACGAGTTGCAATGCTCAAAAGCCGTTTTGCTGATACCATCTTCAGAGCTACTCATCAGGTACTTGGAGGGTCATTCTGGTCATTTGATCGATTTTTCACTCGTGCATTCATTTTTTTGTTCACTTTGTGGATTTCACTGTGTAGGTGGAGAAAGTTGATCCTATGAGGATGAAGCAAGAAAGAGAGAGACTGGAGAGGGAAAAACTAGAAGGTAACATTATAGATATTCTGGATTATTAAGCGAAAGGTCACATGTAATGTATAATTCGATATTCTTCATTATTTGTGTGTAACTAATTTATTCATTTTATTCACTTATATGCTTATCTTTTACATGAAAGCACTCAGTAATATTTGCAATAATGCAGAGAAAGCCAGAATTGAAGCCGAAATAAAAGCTGCTGAGGCAGCCTCACGAAGGGAGCGAGATGAGTTGAGGATGAAACGTGAACGAGAAAGAGCCGCTGCCCGGATGGCACTACAAAAGGTTTATTCTCCTTTTTCTATTTATTCTTCTTTTTTTTTTTTTCTTAAAAAATGTTTCTTCTGGATTTTTTTTACTTCTTTCACCAAGTATAACATCCTGTTTTTTGCTTTGCAGATGGAAAAATCTGTGGAGATTAATGAAAGCATGGATATCGTGAAAGATGTGGAGATGTTGTGTTTCGGTTTTCAAGCGGGGAAGACTCTGGAGAGATTCGGATTATATTTGAAGGAGGATTATTTGGAAGATGAAGAAGACGAAGATGCAATTCTGAATGCAGAAGAGGGGGAAATTTTGTAGTGCAACCCCCTTTGTTCTTATGGTTGATTTATGCTTGAAGTGGAGGAGTTTTGTCTATTGCAAAAAGTGCACCTGTAAATTTTGATTCAGCTACTGGGAGCTTTGCAACTCTTGAGTTGATGGAAGAAAGTGTTTAAAACCTAGGAAATATGTCCTATTTCATCTGCTACCAACTGAAGTTGATGAAATAATTGTATTTAGTATGAGAAAATATAAGTTAAATCTGTAATCAACAATGCCAGATTTTGGGGTGTCCAGATTTATCATTGTGGGGAACTGGTGCTAATAAATAAAAATAAAAAAAAGCATTTTTTTCTCCAGTGTTTTTTGTTTCAAAGCTAGCACTTCTTAATTGGTTATAAACAAGAAAAAAAAATAAAAATTAAACAAATCTTAATTTTAACTCAATCGTACTATCTTTAATATTATCAATTTAATTAAATAATATTAATAAATTATTCTTATAAATCACATCAACTCTAAAACACGAGCTGTGTCTTTTATTCTAGTTCAACACGTATTAATCCGTTCATATCATTTTAACGGTAGATTTCATGCTACCCATGTGAGTAGTGTCCCCATGGACTTTTTGACCACAAATTTCACACACCCACATGAGTGTATGTGTGTGAATGTGTGTGAATATGTGGTCAAAAAAGCCCATGGAAGCACTACTCACATAGGTAACATCGACCTTAGCCATTAACTAACCAATCACTTCAAAAAAAAAAAAAAAATAAATAAATAAAATAACCAATCACTTATAATTATTTTTCTTCTTTTACATCAAATTAATTTTAATTATTTTAATTTCAATTTAAATTTGACTAACAACTAATTATACAAAATTTTTTAAAAAAATAACTTTGGTTAATAAAAAATCTAATAAAAAACCAATCAAACTCATATGGAATCACACCTTACAATTTACAAGTTAAAACGATTCTTAAATAATGCAACTCTTAAATTCTGTGCCTATTGTAGAGATATAAAATTTTTGTCCAATCAAATGGCGCCACGTGGAAATTAATTTATTAAAAATCAAGTTATATTTTCTATTTATATTTTAGGAATTTCCATAAATTTAATTCCTAAATTTAAATAGTTAATTAATTGATATTTTAATATTTTAATTCTTGACCAGTCAAATAATGCCAAGTGTCAAATCTTATTCTTGGTAAATAAATCATATCTTCTAGAAGATCTTGGAAGATTTAAGTGGATCTAAAAGATCTTGGAAGATTTAAGTGGATCTTGAAGATCTTATGTGAATCATCATGGACCAATCAAATTGCGTCATACGATTCTTAAATTTGGTAAGGATCTCCCTCCTACACCTATAAATAGGGGCTCTCCCTAATGTCAAAAACACATCATAATTCATATTTCGAAGTTCAAGAGCTCTAGAGAATTCTCTCTACAAGTTTCAAGTGTTCTTGAAGATTCGAAGCCGTTCTTGAAGATTCGAAGGAAGATTCAAGCACATTCAAGCTCAAAACCGACATTTAATTCGGAAACAAGCCGTCAAGCCTCCGAATTGCGTTCATATTCAAGTTCGAGTTCAAGATCTCTCGACGAGATCCAAGTGTTCTTGAAGATTTAAAGGCGTTCTTGAAGACTCAAAGCAAGATTCAAGCGCGTTCAACCTCAAGACTAGCGTTCAATCCGGAAACAAGCTGCGAAGCCTCCGAAC